ATGTCCGAGTGGATCGAGGTCACGATAGCTCAAGTGGTAGAGCAGCGGCGTATCTAACCGAAGTTTGTGGGTTCGAATCCCGCTCGTGCCATTAACTTTTTTTTCATCTCAACTAAAAACCTTAATTAATTGTTTTAGTATGACATTCGTACCACGATTATTATTATGCAGGGTTTCCTGGCCCGGATGAATTTCTCTTGAACCAATGACGCTAACAAAAAACAAAAAAATATGTGTTTAACATTTTTTAGTCGTTTCAAATGTTTAGTTCTTTGGAAAAAAATTACACAGGGTTTTAGGTTTTTCGAAAAGCAAAATTAGAGACATATACTGGACTTACAAATTTAAGCCGTATCGCTCTCATCTTGACTAGGGACTAATGTGTAGAGATTAGTGACCGTTAATCGATAGTTATTCAGATATCGTGAGATGCGGTCGGGAGTGATGTAGGTTTCAGAAAAACATTTTCTTTATCGTGCCAACGTTTCGATCTTTTATTGAGATCATCTTTAGGGAATCTATCTTCCCTGAAGATGATCTCAATAAAAGATTGAAACGTTGGCACGGTAAAGAAAATGTTTTTCTGAAACCTACATCACTCCCGACCGCATCTCACGATATCTGAATAACTAGAGACTAATATTGCTTGCACAAATGTCGATTTGGGAAGGCTGAAGAAACGTTCTTCCATACATCCCATGGACTGATGGGACCAAGTTCACCTTTAATGGCATACTAAACCGATTGAATTTTAGAAGGTGGGCAGAGGAAAATTCGAGAATTTTGTACTTTTTCATCACCAGGTGGTTCACAGGATCAACGTTTGGTGTGAAATTCTCGGATATAAATTAATTGGACCTTATTTCTACTAAAATCATTTAAATGGCGTCCAGTTCCTCAATTATTTGAGGGGCGTTTAACAACAATACAGAAGCTCCTCTGCAACAACGACAAAGTATGATTCTCCAGCTTGATGGATGCCCCGCACACGATTCTTTGCAGGTGAAACTTTATTTGAATCGTCACTTCCTGGATACGTGGATTTGGCCCGATCTGTTGGCCGCCTCGTTCACCCGATTTAACTTCACTTGACTATTTTCTGAGGGGCCAATTAAAAAACAGTGTCCTTGCCAATCACAACCCAACAACCTCTGTTGAAGAACTGCGGCAAAGGATAGAAAATATTAGTCAATACCTCTCCCATGAGTGACACTCTGAGCACCGGTGAAGAATGGTTAAAAAGAGCAAATCTTTGCATCTTTACTAAAGGCAGGCAGTTCAAACATGAAATATGATTAATAAATAGCAAAACAAATGCGTTTTTTTCAAATTTTTAGCCATAACATGGTTAATTTTGGACCAAATTAAGATGCAACTGCACCATTGTTTTCAACGTGAACAATGGTTTAAAATAATATGGCAGGATTTATAGGGTCATATTTTAAATTTAAAGTTGAACTGGGCCTGATGTACCCGGTTAATTTTTCTCCAAAAAAAAGGTAAAAATTTTAAAGTAGACTAAAAAATACTAAACACCTATTTTTTGTTGTTTTGATTGCGTCATTGGTTCAAGAGAAATTCAGCCAGGCCATCTAAAAAGGACATCTTTATCTCTGTATTTTATAGTTTGAAGCAAATCCTCTATAAACAGCAAACCTTGAACTTAACTACGATATCATAGTATATAGAGTGATCCTATTGCCAGTTTCCATTTTACAGTACGGAATGCGGCCACTGCTGATGGCTGCGTGGCACGGCAACAGGGATGCCGTTGAATTACTCATTAATTCTGGGGCAAAAGTCACCGCTGTTAACAAGGTAATGTTTCAGTTTCTCGACAAAACGTACTTGCTGAATTTTCTACGTTTATAGAAACAATACGGAGTGATCATGTGCGCCGCTCGCAACAACAGGGTGGACGTCGTCGAATACCTAATCTCGAAATTGGACAATTTTGACCTAGAGGACGTTGACTTCGAAGGCAACACGAGCCTTCATCAGGCCTCTTTGGGTGGCCATTATCAAATAGTCAAGAAACTACTGGGGCTAGGAGCTAACCCCAATGCCGTTAACAAGGTAGATTATTTACCCTTCAGCACATTCAGATTGAAAATAATTATTATTAATCGAAATACAAAGAAAATTAAAATGATTAACTTCCCTAAGAATATAACATTCATAAATACAAGAAATTTTAGGTCCGTTTTATACCTAAGCCTACGATAAGTAACTATGTTGTCTAGTGGTCATTGTAGACTAACACGTTTGTCTGGATAGACAGGAAAATTTTATCAGATGTTTTTTCTAAGGGAATTGGGCATGGTCGGAAAAGAATGGGGATTCTTTAGAGCTGTTGTTTATATTGTTGTATGTTCAGTGGTTTTAGTTCTTGATTGTATTTTCCAATAATCACAATACTTATATTAGGCTGACTGTAATTAAGTGTTTCCAATTATATGTGGATGGATTTAGTTTAATACGTCAAAAAAGTTCATATCGTTTGAATTAATTTTATGAATGAATGCTTCATTTTCACGTAATGAGTTCAAGCTTTTAGTTCGTTTAATTTTGTATGGATTTGGATTTATAAAGGATCAAATCGAATCGGCTCAAGTCATACAAACATGTGCCGACTTGATCCTACTCCCTTTTCCGTAGTCCACCGTCAATTCCAGCTTTGCTATTTACTGCCTGCAGACTTGAGAGCCCACGTCGGGTGTTGGCATTTCGGGGAAAGACCTCAGTATTATCCGTCCAGCCAACGAGGTTGGGCACTAGCTAGGTCAATTTGGCACTTGACGCATAAACTTCCAAACCCAATTCACTCGGATAGTAATTACTTATATTTCTTTGCCAGGCCCCAAAATTAGTCCTTTCGTGCAGTAAGGTTCCCGCATACTCGGTCATCCTAAATAGGACTCTAAGGATCTTTAACGTCCACACCTAGCCTTTTCGGACTTATCGGATGTTTTGATTCTCATGATGAGAGCTGACGCACCTCCACATACGACAGGATGATGTTACTGTCGCAGCATTGGTGTAGAGACAGCTCAGCTCCGAAGGGGCAAGACAACCTCGCTACCCGCTTGCCAATTCCAAGTGGCGGGGTCTGCATTGAGCACCAGACCGTATGCCGCGCGCAAGTTATTCTTACCTATGCCGAAATACATCAGCCCAATCTCCCACGCGCTCCCTAGATAGAGAAGGCGACTCTGTCTCCCAGAATGTTGGGGCTCCTTCAGCGTCGAAACTTTCGGATCCGCTTCGGCCGCGGTTTTATTAAAAAGTGGAATATCTAACCACTCCCTAGAGGAGCACCGCCTACGGTAAAGCCTCCAGTCGAGCTCACCTACACCTGCCATGCGCATTCCAGAGACGCCATAGGCTACGCCTAGGTGGTCCGATCCCTTGCTTCCCCAAAGGTATCACGACAGTCGTGCGCACAACAATGTAAAGCATACTCGAGTAGGAGCAACCGATTCACTACCCGTTCCCAACTTCTTCTACTCCCCATTATAGGGACTATCCAGCATAATCATCGCGTCTTCAACGCCTATACGCTGCCGTCCGATCCGCAATATCCCGTGAGGCCGGGGTATAACGGTGAGAATACGCAAGATTCACGCGAAGGTCATAGGCATAAGACAGCCTCTTCTCTAATTTCCCGCCAGGGGCGTCACCACAAGCTACCACGAATTTGCCAAGACCTCTAGGATACACCATTATTTTGCGCCAGGATAACCCCGTTGTAACCAAGGGTTAGGAGATGGCACAGGATAGAATGAAGGAACCTGGATTGAGAAAGTGCAGTGGTCGAGGACTCGAAATGAGCCGTTTCGGGGTTTCAAGACTCAACCACACTACACTACCCGTCGTCGCCGCAGTGCCACATTGAGGGGACCGCAGCTCCCAGGGAGGGTGAGGCTCGTACCGTGCAATTAGATAATACTTTGTCTCAAAGCTGTCAGCCAGTGGGATGATACCAAACCGGCCGAGTCCCTGTGACACATCTCATCCTCGTGTTTTGTCTTTTTTGTTTCTTCTTAGATTTACATCTTCCTTTCGTCTATTTGTGGCGGGTGATATTGGAGATGTTGAGACATACCACTTAGGTAGCCACTGTCCACTCTTTTCCCTTTTGAGGGCGTGAGCTTTCACTCGTGTTGAGTCTTAAGACCTTGTCCATGCTCGGTCTTTCTATCCCCAATAGCGGTGCCACCGTCTACACACCGATTGGAGGTCGTACACAGTCCGTGGCATATATTTGTGGATTTGTAAATTTTTTTGCTACGGGAAGTGTTAATACCCGCAGTAAAACCCCCCGATGGGGATACGAACTTAGGGTGCTCTGGCACTACTCGCTTCACCCAACGGCTACTTGCCAGTGAATCAGACCAGGTTGCGAGAGTGGAAAAGAAGTTTCCTAGGGGCGGTAAACCTAGGGTTTGTATTGTTAGTGGGCTTAAGTCAGTGTGAGTTTATTGTGTGTTATGTAAGTTTCCCTCCGGTTTGCATGTGATTACCTCCTGCCACCGGGGTCTCGCCGGGCTTTGTGAAGACCTCAGACCGGGACGTCGACGCACTACAATACAGAGGGCCCCCCAGGTCTGACCACAATGAAGCATAATTTGATCTTTTTTACGCGTCATTGTGAGAGATAACTACACCCCTCAGATTTTTCTGAAGCCATCAGTTTCCTGTAACAGCCCTGGAAGGACCCCCGATGCCCACGCCCGAGACCATTTCCACAAATATAATTGCCAGGAACAAGTTCTAGGGGCGATAGCACTATGGTGGTGTATATGATTATGGTTAGGGATGAACGCCAAGACTACCGCTACCGATGCATTAAGGGAGTTGCTGGCTGAGAGCTGGCCGCGAAAAGCGGGTTGCGGAGCAGAGGCATAAGTGGATTAGGGTATCAGATTCTGTCTAAATATGTATTTCGAATATATATGCGGACGGGGAGGGAGCATAACCATCTGTACTGTCGGACATCGTTTTTCGTTCCAAAGTTCAAGCTCAGCTTGGTAAGGACTCGCAGTGGCTTAGTGGGGAGACCCCTGGAACGTACCTAGAGAAGAGGCTGTGTCTCATTCTGAGCCGTGGGCCGTAGTACTTGCGCATGACCTCCGAGTTACCTCCCGACCTCGTGGGAATCGGACGGATCGTATTGCCAAGGGCGTAAAGCCACCGAGGAGCTATGACTACGCTGCCGGCGTCCCGCGAATTCGTGAGGGATGGTGAACGGGGCGGGTGCTTGTCGGTGGCTGATCCTTGGGTTCTTTTACCTTAGGCATGGTACTCCTCTAGGGGGTGGTTAGAGATTCCACTTAAATCGAAACCGCGGCCGAAGCGGATCCGGAGGTTTCGACGCTAGCGGAGCCCCTTCACCCAGGGAGATAGAGTTCGTTGGGTTACTTGGCTGATGCATTTCGGCCACTTTTGTCAGTTCCCATTACGTGCGGCACTGGTTAAGTGCACAAAGTTAACCCAACTCCTCGGAACGGGAAAGCGGGAGAAGTCAGCATGTCTATCGATTAGTCTGTGGATTTGTGGGTTTCTGAGAAGAAACAGATTTTCCGCGCGCGGAGGTTAGTTGCTCCTAACTTGAGAATCTAAACGTGTGATAAGGCCAGTAGGCTAGCTGCGCACGCTAAAGAACCTCAATTATAAGACATTGCGACCCCAGTGGGAAGACTGATTATGGT